TTTTGGGACGGAAGGAGTATGAACCAACAAAATATTTAAACTTCGTTTGAATAAAAGCAAATTGCCCTGAATCATATCAAAACATAAGCTTTTTTTCACATAATACTTTTTTTCTTCATTTGGCAGTCGACGAGAATCCGATCCAAAGAAGATTTCTTGTAAGTACTTGTGAGTGAGATGAGGAAAAGTGATCTCAACACAAAGAGGAAAAGTGATCTCAACACAAGTGATGAGCTACCCATGTTATTTTAATTTCTATTTTATTTTTCTGCATATAATACAAAGTCGTTTTCTGAACTCGTGCCTTTGTATTATTGCGTGTGCATGAGTTTACAAAAGTTTGGTTATGTGAATCATAGAAAGAGGTCGAGATTCATATCAATTTCCCAATAGTGGTGTATATCTAATTCAAGGTTTGCGGAGGTAGAGATAGATCGAGCACTCTGCGTTGCTTGAAATCTCGTGTCGGAGTGATGACAACAGGAATGCCAAAGATGTTTGAGATTCCAATTCACTCTTCGATGGGAAAACAATTCAAATATAATTTTACATTGTGGAAGAGTACAATTTAAGACCTATAAGTGCAACAAGGTCTTGATAACAAACTAAAGGATGTGAAGCTAAATAAGCCTACCTTCATGAGTGAGAGAGAAACTGATGAAGAATTCAGAGGAGAGCCATTATAATAATACCATCTAGTTGGCACTTGCTCCGGAGATTAAGTTTAACGTGTTGAAGGAGACCTTGTCATAGGCGCGCATTATGAGGTAAGCTCGAGAGCATCTACGTGGCAAGGTTTTGAGTGGGTGATGGATAGTGTTGGCTCGATGTATATCTATCAAGATCAAGCTTTGTTCGACACCTTAAATATTGATGCAGATCGAATTTGGTCACTTCAACTTGGCAAATAGTGAGAAGTTGAAGGTCGGATGAAGGTATTCGAAGCGTGAGGATGAAGTTTTTTGGCCGTTTGTAGAGATTGTACGTGTTGTATCAGGTCGTTTGAAGGTCGTTTGTAAAGACTGTACATGTTGTATCTATGCTTGGATGTTGTTTTTTGGCTGTAATAACATTCTTGCATTCTGAAGTGGGTTCTAAACCATTAAAGAATCAGGATTTAGATCCCAATCCATGTGTCTCTACTCTCAAGTCCTGCCACAAAATTAGAGGATACTTGAGTAGTTTGTTTGATTTATTTGTATTTCTCTTGAGACGGGAACCACAGAAGAGGATTTTTTTATGGGAATTCTTTCTTGATTTTTACGGAAGTAAAATTGGGGTGATTTGCTCGCTTCCTAGCTGATTTCACTTTTTTCAAATATTCCTTGGCAATTTGCACGGTTAGCATGAAATTCCTAACCTAGACTTGTTTTCATTTGTTACTTGCATTTTATTTTAATTGTGCATTGCATTAGTTTAGTTTATTTCACTTGCATAACATTCATCTTCTTTCTTTCATTGACCATGATTCACGATCTACAATTTGATACTCGTATTTAGTTGTACACTGCACTCAATTTCTAACGAATCACGCTATCCCCGTAGATACGACATGCGTACTTCACCACTTTACTCACCCATTACTTTCACCTTCCATATTCCATCCCATTTTCGCACATCACCTTTTGATTGGAGATTTTTGGTGACAAATGACGCACCAACATTTTTTTGCTATCATATAGCAGTCTCGTCTCGTTAGAAATCAGTTCAGTTTTGGTTAGGGATAAAAAACAATAAATCTCATTTAGAACAAAATAAACGGTTCGTACCATTATAGTCTGATATGGAAACATGCTAGTTTATTTGTTTTTTCCGTCTACCCTTAAAAAACTGAATATGTTTTTGGTCCGTGCAAAATTAGTGGCTTTTACTTTTAGTCCTTTTAAAATATTTTTTAATTAAGTTATCCTAGTAAAATATACTCCCTCCCTCCCCAATTTGATTACAAATTGCGGGTTACGGAGTAAAATTTCTTACTTTTTGAAATCGATTTATTTACAAATAGGTATATGAATAAGATATAAAAATTATATATTAAAAAACTACGTCAAAAGTTCTACAAAACAAGAGGTGACAAGAATATTTTATTTTATTCAATACTTAATGAAATCGCGTAAACAAACCAAAGTTATCGAGAGGAGAGAGGAAAAAAATTGTAATCTATTTAGGGACGGAGAGAGTATATCTTTGCAAATAGTCCTTTTTGAAGTCAATACTGAACATGTTTTTAGTTACTTTAAAGTTAAGAATTTTGATTGGTTACATGTAGGGGTGGACACGGTACGGTTCCGGAACCGCCGGTTCCGGTACCGCCACCCCATGTCACCGGAACCATCACCGTGCCGGCCGGTACCGGTTTCGGTTCCCGGACCGGCGGTTCCGGTACCGGACCGGCCGGTTTCGCCCCCCCCCCCCTCCTATTTTTATTTTTTTTTGCTTTTTTTAAAATTTTTAAAGTATAAAATTTTTAATTTGCAATTCTTTAAGGAAAGAATGAAATAAAAAAATCTAAAAATGTAGTTGTTATTTAAATATTTTAAATGAATAATACACTAACTGAAAAACAACCACATTTAATATCCTGACGGTTCAAAAAAAGTGACGAGGTAAAGAACCGTAAAGAAACCCTCGAAGGAGCTTATATATCGCTCACCTAAAAAAACTAATTACATATCTACATTAACATAAAAAAATTATAACTTATTCTTCAGAACTCGGACTTCCATCTGTTGTTGCATTCATGTAATACTCCGATTCGAGTAGGTACGATGACTCTTGAGCTCGACGTCTTGCCAAGAGCCAATCTTGGTTGCAAACCAATGTTTCAAGAGATTCAGCGCTAAGACAACTTCGAAAGTCGGTTAGAATGTTGCCGCCAGCACTGAATTCTCGTTCAACTGCTACGGTTGATACCGGAACGGATAACACTTATCTTGCTAGCATGCCGAGACATGGGAACATGTGTTCGTTCCGCTTCCACCATCCGAGCACATCAAAATCCACGTCGTCGTCATCGTAATCGCATGGCACACCCTGGTACATAGCAAGTTCGTTGTGCGAGCTTACTGTTGTACCACTTGAACTCGTCGAAGAATGAGCACGCTTCCCTTTCTTTGCAAGAAGACCACCGACTATTCCGGCAAAACCTTTTTTTGATTTCGGGGGCGGAGGTGGTGCTGTTTCTTCTTGTACAGTGCCGTATAACCCTTGATATTCCTCAAACAAATTCTCAAAAAAAGTTANAATTTTTTTTGCAGGGAGCCGTTTGGACTTTGGACTAGACAGCAAAGAAAACCAAAAAAAAAAAAAATACGGTACGGTACCGGAACCGGTACCAGTACCGCCGGTTCCGTGACAGGAATATGGGTACCGGAACCGGTACCGGTACCGGTTCCTGGTACCGGGTGACGAATCGGAAAACGGCGACGATGGTGGGTACCGGCGGTACCGGCGCCAGTAACGGTACCGAACCGGTACCGTGTCCAGCCCTAGTTACATGTGAGACTTAATAAGTGCAAATGAATTTTAGTCCATGTAAACCCATGGGAGGACTATTTCCAAAAAAAACTACTCCCCCCGTCCTGGAGTATTCATTCAGTTTTGACTTTTGGAACTGTTCATCTAAGCACTTTGACTCATCAAATTCTCTCAATGTGTAAGCCTAAATATAGTCATGTGTGATCTTGTTTGATTTGTCTTAACATATAGATTATTAATATATAATTTTTATAATTTTTTAATAAACAAATTACAAGATAAAATGGATTAAAGAAGTGTATTGGATGGTGTGTAAAAATGAAAGTGGACAAATACTCTGGGACGGAGGTAGTATTTCATATGGGTGACTTAATTAAAAAATATCTTAGAGGGGCCAAAAACAAAAATTGCATATTTTACAAATAAAATATCTTCGTCCTAAAATTTTTTTTAGCATGTCCAACGATGGTTGGCTGAACTTATTTTCAATTCAATTTATATGAAAATTGAAATAAAATTTTAAATAAAAATTACAAGTGCAAGTCTCCATTTTTTGTTCTTGATGATCTGGTCGAGCATTTGAGGTTGCAACAACCTTGGTCAACTAGGGGCTTCATTGACTAAGATAGACGAGGAGGTCAATCGATCGAGCCAGGTGCTCATTATCAAACCATTCTAACCCATCCACTCAAGGGTCAATGCCCTTTTTTCTTGCATGTTAGGTCGTCAAGTCTTTTGAATGTTGAGACTCAATAATGGCAAAGCTCTTCCTCCTCATAGATGGTCCTCACCTCACCATGGTTCTCATCCATGAGATCTTCGAAGACATCTTCTTACGGCTCTTTCAAGTTGCCTTCGCGCGGGAGGTGAACCCATCAACCATTGCGATGGTCTAAACGCTAATGAGTGATTGGTTGGGAAGCAAAAGCACTCCTATCATGTGCTCCTCTCGCGAAAGTGACAAGGGCGACAATGACCATTTTAAATTACTCGAGAGTGACCCTAACCCTGTTATAATGTCCTAGCAAGTAGCAACCAATATATATCAGTTTGATGATCTTAGTGGTGGACTTTTTAACCTACTCATTGGGCTAGTCTCATTTATGACATGAGTGTTGTTGTTGTTGTGGTTCTAGCTTTTTGTGGTTAGTATGATTCTCAATAGATGTGCTATTTTTTGGTGTATTTTATTTGAATATAGAGGGATGGTAAATAGTGGAAATGATTTTTTTTTCTAATTCTAATTTGACAATAGAAGTGCGTGCATGGGAAAGATAAACTTGTTTATCACACAAAAATTTGCTCTTTCTTTTTTTTTTTTTTCAATTCAAAAAAAAAAATTCACAGAAGTGCAATTTCTTCTGTTTCTCAAACAAAATTTAACACATTTTTTTGTTTTTCAATATTTCAACATTTTAAAATAGTACTCGTACTACCTAAAAAGAAAATGACCCCCCGCCCCAAACTACCCCATCTTTAACGGGCAACCACAAAATTTGAAATTCAAAATCACAACCTTAAAACCCTCACCCGGTCCGGCGTCGCCATTACGGACTTGCAGAAAAGCTCACTGCAGCGTAAGACGGAGAACCAGGGAGGAAGAAATGGCCGATCAGGGAAAGAAGAAGCAACACCTAAGCCTCAATCAGCGTCACACCCGCGTCCTCCTAGACCTATCCGCATCCCATTCCAAAGCCCCTCCATCTTCTTCCTTCCATCGTACGTATCATCGGTTCAAATATGTTAAGATTTACGCGTTTGGTAGCATTTGATGATTATTTAAAGACTGCTGCTTGGTTGTTTGAAAGTGGATGTCTCAGTTTTTGTCGACACATTAAATTTTGCTCGTATGTGTACTAACTATCTGATTTCATTTTCAAGAGGGAAGGATGAAGGTAGGAGAAAAGGGGGATTTCAGCGATGAGAAGAAATTTGAAGAAGTTCCCAGTTTTGGAATTGATTTCGGCTCTCCATCTGCTTCTTCTACTGCTGGTATGCCTTAATTTCATCAGTGTACAATCTTTAAATCGATGTTGTATATTTTGGGCTGTGCTGATATTGAATGTCTTTTTTTAAGAGGAAAATGCAATTACAGCGGACCAAAGTCTTCCAGGAAAGAATGAAGATGTTCCTAACTTTGGAATTGATTTTGATTCTTTTAATGTTTCTGTTCTCGGTATGATTTCCTTTTGTAGTGTATGCGAATACATGATGATGGCGTGACTCTTTATTTTGTTTGAGTACATCAATACATGAAGTTTTCACATACTGAATGTCAATCTTGCTTTTTTGAAGAGGAAAATGTAAGCACATCAGCTACAAAGCTCCAAGATAAAAAAGATGATGTTCCGACCTTTGGAATTGATTCTGATTCTCCTACTGTTTCTCCTCCTCTTGGTATGGTTTTCTTTTTGAGCGTAGGTGCATATTTGGATTCATGTCATGACTCTATGGTCTGTGACCGAGCACATGAATACTTCACACCTATTTGAATGCTTATATTCTGAATAATGCCTTACTTTTATGAAGGGGAAAATGTAACCATTGCAAAGCAATCTGTCCATGAAGAAAGTGATGATGTTCCTAACTTCAGAATCGATCTTGATTCTCCCAATGGTTCTCCTCTTCTCGGTATTGATTTCCTTTTGGAGTGTATTTGCATACCTGTTGTTCTTGTGACTCTGTATTTTATCTGAGTAAATCAATACACGAATGCTTTCTCATACTAAATGTCTATCTTACTTTTTTGAAGAGGAGAATGCAATAACAGCAGTTACAAAGCTCACAGATAAAAAAGCCGATGATCTGAACTTTAATTTTGATCTTGATTCTCCTACTGCTTCTTCTCTCGGTATGCTTTTCCTTTCAGAGTTTAGGTGCTTATGCAGATTCATTTCATGACTCTATGTTCCGTGCCCAACCACATCAATACATTACACATATTTCGTTGCGCATATATTGAAATATGTCTTGCTTTTTCGAAGGAGAAAATGCAGCCTCTACAAAGCAACCCATTCAAGAAGAAAGTGACGATGTTCCTAACTTCGGAATCAATTTTGATTCTCCCACTGCTTCTCCTTGTGGTATGATTTCCTTTTGCATTGTGTCTGATTTCATGCCAGCTGTTGAATTATAACTCGATTCTTTGAAGAAGGAAGCACTTCTTACTGCTAGAAAAATCTCCAAGATGAATGAAATTGACGGTGTTCCAAAGTTGGAACATCATCATATTTGTTTTGGATATTTATAGCTTTGATTGCAATCTCGTATTCTCCTCTTCTAAAGGAAGAATATGTGCACCCCAAAACGTGCAATGTATTCATGTGAACTCTATACAATAATAATGACAAATGAAAGTCATTTTGCAGTTGAAAATGAAAGGCATGAAATCAGGGATATCCTGAAGGATTTAAGTTCAAGACTTGAGGTTCTTTCAATGGATAAGACAAGGGTTCAAAAGAAGGTTATTGTGACTGAAAAAAAGGATTTGTTTGTTGTCTCATCTGATGAAGAAGTGAAGAAGAATGAAGCTAAAAGTGTGGCAGGAAAATCAAAATACACGGGAAAAAGTTGCTCTTCCTACAATGTGCAAGATGACACTGATGACGACTGTAAGCTCGTGAATGAAAAAAAAACTTTTAAAAAATTTGGAAGACCAAATAAGTATTCTACACACAAGAGTTATCATGGTGATATCGTTGATGATCAGTCCAAGGATGGTTTTGTCTCAGAAGAACATCTATTTACTTTGGATGGACCAAAGTTTAAACTACCAGGAGAAGTTGCTAAAATGTTATACCCCCATCAGCGTGATGGTTTGAAGTGGCTTTGGTCCATCCACTCCCAAGGGAAGGGTGGTATTTTGGGTGACGACATGGGTCTAGGCAAGACAATGCAGGTAAATAATTCTAATACTAATATCTGCTTTTATAGAATAAAATGTGAACAAAAGCTATATTTTGGTTGTACTTGGTTTCAGATATGTGGCTTTTTAGCTGGGCTATTTCATTCAAACATGATTAGGAGGGCAATGATTGTTGCTCCAAAAACATTAATGTCCCATTGGATCAAGGAATTAACAGTTGTGGGGCTTTCTGGGAAGATTAGAGAGTAAGACTTTGTGGTCCATAAATTCTCTCGTTTATCATTTATTATATTCAATATGTTTTATAAATTAGAGTGGGAAGTGGTTTACCTTATTTTGCTGCAGATATTATGGGACTAGCATGAAGGCTCGAGACTATGAACTCCAACATATACTTGAGGTACTTGGTTTCATCACTTAAATGCAGTACTTTATGCAATTAGTCTGTCTTGTGCTTTTGTTTTTGACACAAGATGTTCCAATTAGTCTGTCTTGTGCTTTTGCTTGTGTTCATTGATGAGTGATGTAAATTCATGGTTTAAGTTCAGATCATCACATGGGCATAATTATTCTGCTTGACGTGAATTTGATTTGTGTCGACCTTTTCAGGATAAAGGTGTTCTTCTCACCACTTATGACATTGTCAGAAACAATGTTAAATCTCTGTGTGGAGGTTATTTTCATTGTGTTGATAGTGATGATGAGGTTATATGGGATTACATGATTCTTGATGAGGTAGTTCACAATCTATTATTATTATTATTATTATTATTATTATTATTATTATTATTATTATTATTATTATTATTGTAAATCTCAGCTTAAACATATTTTATGTGGTCTGATAATCTTTATAATGTAGCAATATATTATGAATTCATGATTATTTTATTGTATCTTAGAGTGACTAGGTTGCCTTCTTTGTTGTACTAAAAAAAGGTTGCATTCTTTGCATGTCGATGTTTTATTGGCTACTTAAAATTTTGAACTTAACATGTAAGCTACCATGTCGTTCTCTTGGGTCTTACGTTAGATATTCTCTATCCTTCTCTTATACCCTGAATTTGATTTGTGGGGAGTTCTAACATGTGTTCTCTGACATTTGGATATGCTTGCAAGTTTTGGTTGCACATTAAGATTGTAAATAGCATAGACAACTAAAGACGAGTTATGGCTTCTAAGGCCTTGATATGTGTTACTTTACAGGTCAATTTACATAGGGTTCCCTATTCTATATAACTTAGTCCAATTGAACCCCCTCAGTAATATTTGTTCAATTTCATCCCAATACATTTTAAATTGATAACATTTAGGAAACCATTACTGGTGTTATGGCATTCAAAATCGCTTGCATGCCATGGAACGTGGTATTAATATGTATTTGTATGTATATAAACATTGTGTTATTGATTATAAATCATTATTAACACTTTAATCCTTATTATTTAGGTCATGTGCATTAAATATATAGTGCCAGTTACTTGATTAATTGTATATAAGACTAAATTCGTGGGAAAATGCCAGATTTTCTTCATATGCAGGAATAATTAGATGAATATTAAAAGTTCCCACCATCATAGGTTTTTTCCAAATGGATGAAAAACACCATTGAGATTTGGATAAATAGAAAATGTTATGATATCCTCATTATCAAAAGAGAAATGCAGTAACAAACTTTAGATCATTTTGGATTCAGACTATTATCAGTATTAATTTCTGATATGTTTTCAAAGGTATACAGTAATTAACGGTGTTAAAGGTTTTCCTTACTTTAAGTTTAACCATTTTGAATGTATTAGGACATCCAGTTGAAGGACTAAATTGAACAAAATCATTTAGTATGGTGTATGTGAATGGTTAGGTACTTTGAGTTCGACCAAACTTACATGATTATTTGGTTCTTTTCGTAAATACTATATTTTTCCTCCTTGGACTGTCATAGGGGCATTTGATAAAAAATCCAAGCACACAGAGAGCAAAAAGTTTACATGAGATACCTTGTGTTCACCGTATCATTATTAGTGGGACACCACTTCAAAACAATCTAAAGGTATGATTGATTCTATGTTAGCCTTTAGGCTTCACTTATTTCCTTTAAGCCATGTGATCTTTATTCATGTTATACTTTTCACTCAATTGTTGTATCTAACATAAACAACAGGTCTCAGAGTTTTCTTATTTTTAAAATGTAGGAACTATGGGCCCTATTCAACTTCTGTTGTCCTGGCCTGCTTGGTGATAAGATATGGTAGTTATTTATACATATTTAAGTTTGCTAAGATCTTAACTTCATCAACATGATAGTACTTTCAATTTGGCTTCAGGTTTAAAGAAAAATATGAGCATTTTATTCTTCGTGGAAATGAAAAGAATGCATCAGATAGGGAAAAGCGTATCAGTTCAGCAGTGGCCCAGGTAAAGGGTGTAGTCCAAATACTGTTCTTGTTGTTTCCATGTGCGCGTGCTTTGTGTTTTCTTTTTTACGTCAGATGCAATTTGTACATCAATTTATTAATTATAACTGTATGGTTTTTTCCTAACTCTTTATATATTCACTTCATGATCCTTGCCCAAGATTTTCAGGTCTTTTAATAACAGCATATTAAGAGTGAAATAACCCATTATTTATGTTGAACAAGTAATTTCTTTTCTAATGAGTGTATGGCTCAATCTATATCCATACACACATGATCACATTCAGAGTGACATAGGTGTTTGAATGATCAAATGTCCTATGGTACCACTACGCTGTATCTTAATTATGCCTGAAAATTCAACTAGAAATAGTCGAAAATATTTAAAAATGTTTTTTTCTCTTTATATTGTTGGGTTCTTAACTATCCATAAGGATTGCTTATCTCTTGTTCTTAATTATTCTTATTTTTTCTTAAAAGGAGTTGCGAGACCGCATACAACCATACTTTTTGCGACGTCTTAAAAGTGAGGTATTTACAGATGATGCCTCAAGTGGCATAAAGCTTTCTAAGAAAAATGAGATGTGTGTGTGGCTAAAATTAACTAGTTGCCAGGTATGTATTTGTGCTTCCAGATCGACTTTCCTTCTTGGGTGAATAGTTTTTCTGTTCATTGATTTGTTGCACGACGTAATACTTATTCTATTACTCCAATTTTCGGTGTAGCGTCAACTATATGTTGCATTTCTAAAGAGTGAGATAGTACTTTCAGCTTGTGATAGCTCACCATTAGCAGCATTAACGGTAATGCTTTATCTAAACACTTCCTGCATTCTACGTGGATTGCTATGATGATATTTTCTTTGGCTCAGTGAAGCACACTATTTTTTTAACTCCATTATAATATAATACTAATGCCCGACTCTATCCTAATGAATATTAGGAGGATTAATTGGTCTATGTGACTGTGATCGGTGTACACACATAAATTGTACTCCCTCCATCCCATAAAATTCTATACAATTTCCTTTTTTGAACATCCCAAAAAGAACTTTACGCTTTATTCCCTATTTTGGTAATGAGTATGTGGCTACCAACAATTCCCTCCTCTAAACAAATCCTAACCACACTATACTTTTCAACAACTTTCTTAAATTCCACAAAGTCAAAGTTTCAAGAATTTAATGGGGCAGGTGGTGTAAATGGTCAATAAATAAGTAATAGAGTAAATAAAGTCTAGTTCTCATGAGGATTGATTCTAAGTGAAAACTATATTGTTTATTGTTCATTTTAAAAACCAAAACAATTTCAGACAACTTACTTTTGATTTTGGTGGAAACAAACCTCGTTTTGTGAAAGGATCTTGAAATATACTCCACCCATTCCAATAACAAACTCTTGCTACTACCATTCCTCAATTCCATTGTTCAAACAAATGAAACCTGAGCAAAATGAAAATTTCAATACGCAGATTTTGAAAAAAATCTGTGACCATCCTCTTTTGCTAACCAAAAGAGCTGCCGAAGAAGTTTTGGAAGGGATGGAATCCATCTCAGAGCCAGGCCAAGACGATCGTGCTATGGCTGAAAGATTAGCAATGCAAATGGCAGATGCAGCTGAGAAGTTAGATTTTGAGGATAACCGGAATATATCTTGCAAGATTACTTTCATAATGCAGTTGCTGGTTAGTTACCGTCAACATCAATGTTACCTTACCTACATCATCAATGCACATTGCTAATGTTATTGATTCTTCACTGTAGGATTTTTTGATTCCAAAAGGACACCATGTCCTTATTTTTTCACAAACACGTAAGATGCTTGATCAGATTCAGGTAACTATCACTTTTGCATCCTATCATTTTATTTTAGTTTATTTAATAGCTGTGGTCTGTTTAAATGTCATTTATCCAATTCTTGCCCTAGGCCTCTTTAATCTCCAGTGGGCTTAAATTCTTGCGGATTGATGGGACTACTAAAGCTGCCGACAGACTGAAAATTGTTAATGTATGTGTTCTTGGAGCTTATCTTATACTCCGTGGTACATATAGTTTTACGGATATGCATCATTCAATATTAGCTAATTACCTAATTATATATAGAATTTTCAAGAGGGTCCTGGTGCTCCGATCTTCCTTTTAACTTCTCAAGTCGGTGGATTGGGTCTTACACTCACTAAAGCAGATCGTGTAATTGTGGTTGATCCCGCATGGAATCCAAGGTACATGCTTGACTACACATCTAGTATGATTTCTGAATGACTTATGGTGGCGAACATTTCTTTCACTATGGTGTGAAATACGGAGTAAAAGTGAATAAAGATATCTCATTCTAGGCAAATTTACACCAGAATATAAAAGCGTCAAGGTCATACAACCAAAATATATACACGTGCACATTTGGTGGCATGTGACGTTGCGTCTGCAACCAATTGCTTGCTATCATCATCATCATATGGTTCTTGGATATTCTGCATTCATAACATTCATAACCTCATTACTGATTTTAATTCTCTGCAGTACTGATAATCAAAGTGTTGACCGTGCTTATCGTATTGGGCAAAGGAAGGATGTGGTTGTCTATAGATTGATGACATGTGGTACAGTTGAGGAAAAGATCTACAGAAAGCAGGTCCACACAGTTATTTTCATTTACATCTTGCTCATGGGAAACTTGTTTCTTGTTACTTTTACAATTAAATCATGTGGGTTTTGGGTACTACATGACAAAAAGCTGCATTATAGATTTTATCTTGGAAATCTGAAAAATAGCTTTTCCCCAGAAGTTTACTAAGGTTTCTGATTTTATGGAATATATTCAGCTGTTTATGGACAGCACACTGGATTCTCTAATTTCATTTTTTATTTTGTACAACAGGTATTCAAGGGGGGTTTGTTCAAAACTGCAACAGAGCACAAAGAACAAACACGTTATTTTAGTAGAGAGGTATGGCATAAATCCTACATGTGCATTCATATAATCTTCATTGTGCATTCATGTAATGACATGTAATTTTACAAATTTCAGGATTTACAGGAACTGTTTAGCATACCTAAACAGGGGTTTGATGTCTCCTTGACTCAACAGCAGCTGCACGAGGAGCATGATGGCCACCACGAAATGTATTCCATCGTTTCATATTTTAAATTTCCCGAGTATGATATTAAGGTTCTTCTTTGTGTGTTTAATTATTCATGGTCATTTGTGGTTAGCAGGGAAGGATCCCTAAAAGAAGAAATGGAGTTTCTAGGCACTATGGATATTGGGGGAGTTAGTCAACACAGTCTGCTATTTTCTAAAACAGCCCCTGTACCAGTTGCTGAGGACGATGAGGATGTTTGCAGGTAAGTCACTTGAGAAAGTATACGACTTAATGTTTCATTTCACCTTGGTGCAATTTCCTTCACACTAGAGTGTATGTTAGTTCTAATAATCTGTTTTCGTTACTTTTACTCGTTGGGTTCAAATGATGGGATGGAAGGGAGGAGATGTGGAGAATGATGGGAGAAAACCAGAACTTTAAAGTGAAATGTTTGGTTGGTTCAATGAAGTGATGAGGAATTAGCGTTTTAGAATATGTCCCCATGGTTTACATATGCATGAACATTGGGCATTAACTCTAAACTTTTTTGTATTCCTTGGTTGCAGTGTAAGAAGGGCTGCAGTTGTGGGAAATGTCCCCTCGCGCTCATCGGTCGAACCTGCTGCCAATGAGTAAGTATCTTGGCCAATTTTTATTTACAATCCACATGTCATGGTTTTGAAAATATTCAGATGTTGAAGTGTTATAAACCTGTTTGGTTTTCCAGATGGGCACAGCATGCATTCAACCCTAAAGATGTGAATTCGCAGATGCCTAAGAAACCGTCTAGTACCGTAGCACGTCAAAGCAAGGCCGAAATCAGAGATCGAATCAAAAGACTTTCTCATATCCTTGCAGAAAAGGTGTTGAGCTTATTCCACTAGTTTTAAAACTCCACGCTTCCGTTTTCTTTCTCCCGTCTGCTAAGACACTAACTCAAAAACTTAAACATATACAACTCAGGGTATGCTTCTGCCTGATAAAGGAGAGAAACTGAGAAAGCAAATAGGTGAGCTGCATTCAGAACTTTATCTGATTCAAAATGGTGGAAAAGGGAATGAAGTCATTGACTTGGACGATATCTCGGGGAAGTTCCAAAGGGTGGTCAACCTCTAAATGCAGGATTCCATAGGAATGTTTATATGATTTTTCACTTGTTTGTTTTTTGTTTACAGATCTTGGTAAAAGACCTTTCTATGTGGTTAACAGTTAGTTTTCCAAATAGAGTAATTCTTCAAAAGCTTTGCATTTCCTCTCATCTTCAGAAAACAATGGGCATTTTACATACAAAAGAATAATGTTATATTGTCTGGGAAAAAAATAAATGGTCTTAAGTTCTAACTTCTAACCAAAGCTTGAGGAGCAACAGCTCAGCCTGCCCTGTAAATAAGACTCTACAGAGATGTTTTGAATGTTATCGTCTGCCAGATTCAACAAAGCGAGATTAATTAGGGACTGGATGTTATTTTTTCCATGTTTTTCCCCGCCCAATTCCTCTAAGCCATTAACATGTTGCCTTGCCAGATTCATTGCATCTGGTTCGCCTCGGAGAAGCCTAACGACCTGTTTAAAGAAAATTGTTAAGTTTGTGCAATCATCTAATGAAAAGAGATGTGCAGACCTGTTTAAAAATTTGCTTACATGGTTCATCGTGGGACGAAATAACGGTTCACGATTGATGCATAGTTGTGCTGCTAGCGTTATTCTCTCAAACTGATCATGGTCATATGTCTCAATTAGGGTTACATCTAGCAATGATGTAGGTTTCCCATCCCTCAATATTTCTTCTGCCTGTGGCATGTCAAAAGTATTAAAAGCTTTTAAAAAATGGTTTGTTGATCATGAAAAGGCCAAAACAGAGGATTGTATTAGGAATATTACAGTAATTAGTTTACAATTAATATTACTCCATCAGTCTCATAAAAGTAGTCTCGTTTTACGAAAGCCCGACTTTTTAATTCTAGTACGTATGACATAAAAATAATGAAAATACCTATATTTTAAAATTTATTTGTGGGTTTAACATCATTTAAAACATAAAATTGTTTCAAACACTTCTTTTGTAGTTTCTTTTAAATATGATGAAAATTAGCTTCTTCTAATTTTGAAAACTTTTTTTGGGAGAGAAAAACTTCAAACATGTCTAAGCAAAGAACTAAATGATCAACATATTTTTAATGGGCATCTAAGATGATTAATTGTGGGGTCTATTGTGGTTTCATTGATGAACTCAAAGTTAGAGGCAAAGAAATATAGCATAAAATTTTCAAGTTTGATTCAAGAGATAGACCTTACCCACAACACTAAACTTGTGTGTCCTTTGGTATTCCTATTGTCAATTGGTTTTCTACCCGACAAAAGCTCAAGCAGCACGACTCCAAATGAGTACACATCCATTTTTTCGCTTATCTTTCCGTGCGTAAAATATTCCGGAGCCAAGTAGCTGCAAGAAAGAACAAGTAGTTAGTGTTAAGAAAGAACATGTCTTTAACATTCGTTTATATTTTAATATCTGTTAATGTGAGACGATTTTGCTGCTAGCAAATAAATAACTGGAAAACTAAAAATGGATAAGATATGATAACTTTGCTTACCCAAATGTCCCAGCAACATCGATGCCATCTAAGCGACATGATGATGAACTTGAGGACAGCGGTGTTGTGAGCCCGAAATCGGATAGCTGTAAGACCGACATTACATTTCTTAATAATATTCTCTTATTGTTAGTCTTTCATTGTAATTTCAAAGCTAATTTATTATTCACCTGTGGCTCAAAATCATCAGAAAGAAGAATATTTGAGGATTTAACATCCCTGTGAATGACAGGTTTGCTGGGTAATGTGTGCAGATGGTCCAATGCCTCAGCAATACCTAAAGCAACCTTGTACCTGCCCTGCCAATCAAATGCATTCCCGCCATTCTGCGTACCTATAATAGTTTATATAGTATAGCTATCAGTAAAGCAAACTTCAAAAACATTAAGGAAAAAACTCTGTGATTTTTGCTCATCATCCACATAAAAACAACCTGGAAGTCTTCTAATGGCATGGAGATTGTCTTCGAGGCTTCCTCTAGACAAGAGATTATAAACCAACAGAAGGTTGCTTTGTTCAAAGCAAAAGCCGAGGAGAAAAATGATGTTTTTGTGGTGCAGAGTTGCAAGAATCTCTATTTCTGAACAAAACTGTGTCACCATAGTTTCTGATTGCTTCAGTGATTTAACTGCCACTTGGTTGCCATGTGGAAGAAGACACCCTTTGTAAACTATACTACTCCCACCTTTTCCAATCAAATTTTCTGAAGAATGTAATTATCAAAACCAATCAATTCAAACATTATCCAAAGTGTGTGCTATTGTATTGGATTCAACTCAACCAAAAGAGCTCTCAAGGAGTGATGGTTGACCAATACTTATTAGAGAGTATGTTTATTCATATTTAGCCAATTAAAGACAGAAGATTCTCGAGAACCAACAAACCTGGAGCGAAATTAGCTGTTGCAGTCAAAAGTTCCTGGTAGCTAAACAATCTATAGACAGATGAATACTTCCTAGAAAGACCCTCTAGTTCCTTGAGAATTGAAGGACAGTTATTCTCATTCGAGGTGGGTACAATAGCACCGTTATTTCTTTTGTCCTCACATTTACTTTGTTTGTGATCCGGGTAAATAGCTGCAAAAGACTGGCCATTTTGAGGATTTATCACCTGTTGCATGAAAGATGGCCTTTTCGCCGATGATTTTCTTGAATTATTGTGGTTTTGAAGATGCACTCTTCTAAGCAATGACCATCCTCTCTTTGGCGCGGGCATATCCATAGACTTGACTGTTACCAAAGCCAGACTATTAGACCTAGCCTCTGGCACATCATAGTGACACGTTTGGCAAAACGAAGCACGTGCTGCCCTTTGGAAGACGATTTTTCCATCATCAACAGCAATGACTGAGATGCCCTTTCCAACATTCCGGGAACAATACTTTGCAACTGCAACTGATGAGAGGATAGTATGGTGGGTGTATGAAGTGCCAACTACCAAATTTGTAGCTCTACAATTTTTTGCCTCACGGGCTAGAATCACACGGTTAGGTGATCCCCTACACACCTTCAACTTCAAATCAACCTGTAAAAGAGTAATTGTACTTCAGAGAAGCTGCAACTTGCAAGTATTCTTCATAGAGGTACTTCTAATTATTCATAACCTATACGCAACCCAATGATATCATTTACAAATGAATGTCATATTAATGGAATTCAAAAACTCTTTTACGGTCTGCAATCACTTTTGAAGGCAATAACATTATTTTAAAATAGGCTCAAATCCCAAATATGCATGTTGCTAAATGTTTTTCGGCACCAAGCCTATTAGGCATTGTATCCCTTCTCATTACTCCCTCTTTTCCCAAATCATCTTCTCACTTACATCTTTTGGCTATATCTCATTCATCTTCCCATTACCCTTTTGTACTAGTGAAGTGTCACTTTTACCCCCTAGATTGCACAATAAGAAATTCTACCACATGTCATATTAAATACTCATTTTCCCCAATAAACACTTCCAATTGTCGTTCTACCCTTAATTTTTGTGTCATTTTCACACGAGAACCCATTTTGGGACAACGATAGTGCTATATTTTTTTAATCATCCATCTCCTTAACTATAATCAATAATCAATTATTATGCATTACTACGTCAATATGATGCCTAAGACCATCATTTGGAACACGATGAAGAGGGTGTTTGGGAGTGATTAAAGTGATTTTCACAAAAGCCGAAACCAAAAACGTCTTATATTTGCTTTTCTAAAATAATGCTCTATCTTCTATGTACAAGATGGTGGTGGGGAAAAACAAAAGTTGGCAATGCCAAACAGAGTAAAACGGTTACCACCCAAAGAAGGAACTGAATTCTTAAAAACACCGCACTACCAACACCCTCGAAGATGCTTTGGCTTGGGGTGGATATCCCCTTTACCCTTTTTCCCTCACCACCCGAACGAAATACTAAACTCGGGTTAAAAAAATTGGCTATAATTGTCATCTTGCTTCAAATAGATTCGAGTTCGAATATTGATTATCTGCTTTAAGTAGACTCGAGTTCCAAAAAGGAAATATAGCAGAAGTAGTAATAAACATTGAATAAAGACACCTGCTTTAAGCTGCAGAAGCCTTCGAAAGCAGCCAGCACTGAATCAAACGTCTTCACCATGGATAACAACTCTGATTCATCTTCTGAAAATTTAAAAAAAAAGGAAGAAAGAATATAAATTAAACAAAGTGAACAACAAATTCATAACAAATTGTGATATCTAAGGGTAGTAATTATCCTCAAAGGCAAAAAAAATCTAAAAAAACTTGGCCAGAATCTTGTAAATGAACTTTTATGCCACCCCAAAAAGGCCACAAGTCATAACGTAAATGCAAAAATCACATTTTTTTCTAACCCCTTTAGATATATATATGTACCAGTGTTGGGATTGAGAACGTGAAGAGCAATGACGCGATCTCCAGGCTGAGCAATTTTAACCAGAGCCCACGTTAGCAACTCTTTGCTCCGGGAATCCATTTTCACTCCGACCACCGTCAGAGCACCTCCGCCGCCGGCACCACCGCTGGTTTTCACGTCTGCGGAGCAGTGTCCGGCGAGTGTCATTGCAGATAAAGATAAAAAAACCCACCCCGCCGCCGTCCTTCACTCCACTCTGCCGCTAGCTCTTTCTTTAATCCCTCGCTAAAAATGGAGTCTTTTTTCCTCTTGTTTTTTGTTTTTGTTCGGACATCATCAAAACATAAAGGCGAAACTGGGGGGACAAAAGGCTGTGTATTGGGTTGAATGTGTGTGGGGACTCAATTGCGGATTCTGCGGTGGGCGTGCCATGTCATCGTCCGATAGAGCGAAAGACGGTCATTCCTCGTACATTAAACGAGGAAATTGTGGAGTGCGTGGCGGCGTTGTTCCGCGGCCTTGTAAGAAGTAAGAACTTCCAAATCCTAATAACCCTTTTTTTAACAAAAAAAACGTTTTAGATGTATCCCTCCCAAGATTACAGTTTATTTTTTTTGGTCAAATTGTAACATTCTTTAATCGTGAATTAAATATAATTTAAAATAATTATATATTATAAAAGTTGAATATTTCAAAACTATATTAATCTTATTAATTTGAACTGTATTATTGATGATTATAAGTGAATTCAAACACTTTGTGGTGTTGAATTCACTTATCAGGCTTGGATAGGGTGGTTCATGGGTAAGAAGACAGAGGATAATTCCATGATCACATAGATTATGTCCCACATTCTACATTTCTACCTTCTC